TAAGAAGGGCTCCGACCCTACCATCTGATCTGATCGTGGTCAATTCCGTGATATTGGTGATAGGGGGATGTGTTGAGAGATGAAGACGATACAGACGGCGAAAGCGATTGGGAATCCTCGTCGAAGTGAGGACTTTGTTACTCACTCTCAGCTCTGCAGACTCTACAGTAAGAGCTGGAGGTTCGTAGTGGATACCACTGACAGGTGTTGAGAACAGTCCCCCTATTCCGCATTGTAGTTATTGTGTTATCATTATTTCAGGAAATCAGAATAAACTTCGTATATTTCGATCGATCGATTAGATTACGACTACATTTCGTGACAGTGGAATCATACAGGGCTTTCGCAGGCTCATACATTTTTTCTATTAGAGACCCGTCGGAAGGTTATGGCTTGTCCAAAGAGCTGCACTAGAGATGGTGATTCGCTTTCACCTCTATTGCATGAACTCTAACGTGCCTATGTGAGCTTGGAGAATATTGTGATGGTTATTTCCTGGCTATTTGTCGTATCGGAGTAATTTTCGTAATGACTCGAATAGTGGCTTTCCATAGTTAAGGACCGTTGGAGGGATTTTAGGCTTCATATTGCGTATTAATTGGTTTTAGAATAAGATAAAAGTTTTTGTGCCCTTAAAGTCAAGAGAGTTCTATTTCACGTATACATAAGACTGATCATGTGTCATATATAGATAGCTACTTCAACAATAGATGAATAAAATAGATATTTCGAGTGTCTCGTCAGGACAAGTAAATGTATCATCATACTCTAAATCTTGTCAAATATACGTTAGAGTGTGATTTTCAGTATGAAAGCTTTAATTTGTTAATTCCTTTTTTTGGTCTACCTATACTTTGAACGTAATATATCGAGTAACTCAGAAATCACTTTCAAGTATCAGAGCCCTTAGCGCGTCATTGGGGGAATTTCTACCATTACTTTGACAGTTATTTCTTCGCCATCAACTCTAGTAGTGCCGGCATTCACATTCCTAGAGTAAATGGCGATTGGGTACAGCAATTTTATGGTGGTTGGAATTTTCATTTTCTGACTTCATTTAATAATTTGAATCTGATTGGAATTAGTGTGGAGTATATTTTACCCTGCTCACTCATCTCAAATTTATGATCATCTTTAATGCGATTGTATCCTTCCAATAAGCTTGGTATAAAATCTTTACTTCATAGATGACTTTTGCTACAAGTAGAGCGAAGTGTTTAACGTTCGTCATGGTGCTTGGAATGATCGTACAAAACCGCGTCCGAGAATCTGTACTTTTCATCAAAGGTCGATTGAAAGCATTTTCTGTGTGCTTATTACTATGGCTTTAAATTATGTTTAATATCTCATGTGTAGATGGATTAGCATCTTTTTGCATCAGAGTTGGATTGCGTATAAAGCTAGATAGCTATGATACAATATCGGAAATTACAGAACAGATGACTCAACCTGAAAGAAGAGCACTCATGCCTCGGATTTCATTTGCGAGTACCACTGCGAAGATACGGTGGGTTTTTCCTTACCCCAAGTCAATCCTCATCCGTGAATACCCACCCAGGAAAACGTCTCAAAGATCCTGAGTTATCTAGACATATCTTCGTTATCCATTATCTTTCCTCCGCGCAAAATTTGATCTTAGGCGTCTCCTTCCTAAGTGGAGTAGGTGCCCAGGCTACTCGAACCATACCAGAGAACACCATCAGGTGTACAACGGCGTCTTCCCTTGTTGATTTGTTTTTATATTGTCAGCTGCACTCTCGCAAGCGAAGTCTTGGCGCGCACAAAGCTTAATTCTTAAAACTCTTGCCAAAATTCGGAATTTCACGCCCGTCGATGTTATATCCATCCTCTATGTCATTCTATAATCTTGTTCTGACCTCTCTTACGTCATTCCCAAAGGAACTGTCTCCCAGATTTGCGCGCCAGGCTTTTCTTCCTCAAACAGTTATAAATGTCGGCGTTGGCGTGTATTGGTAACCAGCTAAGGCTAGAGAAAGTCGAAGAATGGTGCTGTCGTTGTAATGAGGGTGTACTAAGTCGTACTTGCAGATTTGATGAGACTTAGGTAGGAGTCGATCTCATCAGGGGTGAATTTGACATGATACAGTATTTTGAATCATTACCTAGTAGACCGAATTCTTTAGTATTCCGAAATATGATTGATCTTGGCTCCGGGAGAAAATATCACTCCCAGGTTCGTAGAGGACATCGCATACAGATGTTCAGTCTTGCCCTCCAATAGATTAGCATTGAGACCTGCGAAAGTGTTGGGTGTCCGCTGTGATTCGTAATTACCCCTAAGTGGTTAGCCCCTTGTAAAATACAATCAGCCTTTACCCTTGAACAAACATCAAACTAGTGTAACCAAACCCTTGAAAATCTAAGCAGGCCTTAGTTATTCGGTACAATTACGACGCGCGGGTCATGGTCAGGGCTTATTTGGATCACACTAACAGCTACTCTAAGTAGAGTTGAGTGAATGGCCAAATTTTCCAGCCTTCATCTCGGAGACCGGCCCGGACCGCATACCAATGCACTATCCGACGCCTGCTCAATAATGTTGTAGATTTGCTTCTTCCCAGCATTGGCCCTCCTATGACGCATATACCAGGCGGCCAGTATCCAAACGTGGCCGTACGCTCGATGATGTTAGGGTGTATTCCAATTTTATGCTGGCGGATAATGACTGAGGAGGGCAAAGAGTTTTGTGTAAATAAGCGTAGCCCAAAGTGGTGTTAACAATTAATAACAAAAACGTGAGAGTATGAAGTCAAAATGACCATTAAATATGTGCACAAAACACTGATCGCATGTCATAATTAGAAAGCTGAATACACACTGAACGGCTGAAGAGAAAGAGATGACAGGGATAAAATTGCGCAAGGCGCCAGGCTAGCATTTCCTGAAAATTGCAACATCGGGTAGCGGTAATGAAACTTGAGGAGATCTGTGCAAAGGCGCTACGACATTGGTCAAGAGGACTGTTAATTTATCACTGCCTCAGATTGCCGTTAACAAAGGTCGTACCTGCTTGAGAACTCCGAGTTAGAATGGTGGGTTTAAAACCGAAAGTCATACGAATCAGTCAGAAATCTGTCCCCGTCTAATATGGTTGTAAGCCCGGATCCTTGGACATACAACTGGTATAGTGCGTTTCGATCATCTCCTCCCGTACTTTTTATGGCCTCCGCAATTTTGCCAGCCACGTTTGAGCCATAGATGATCCTAAAGATCGGCGCGAGCAGGATCATCAGGATTTCGTCGCAAAAACCAAGTCATCCAAGGATATCAATTGTTTGAGTTATTTTCATGTGAAGTTTGAAGTGCGAGGTAGCTCGGTCAGCAAATGACGAGAATTTGGGGGTTAGAGCAGACGATTGAGATAGAGAGGGTCGCTAACTACATTCTAAGTGACCGCGCCTCCTCGTCATGATGGATATTTGTCTTCTTGCATCGAAGTGGGGAAGTCAGCAGCGCAATGAAAAAGATAGTTTAGGGTCAAGAGGGGAAAGATTTGGTGTCCCGGGAATTTAATAGGGGTGTGCCGGGCACTATTTGAGGACGGGAAATGATGTCGGTCTGGTTTCCGTGACGGCCGCGCTATCTAGCGCTCATGACTCACTTGACAGAGCCTGATGCGCGACGTTTCTTCGGGAACCGGGGTCGAAGCAAGACAAGCGACCCTCCGTATCCCAATTCGGCTGCCGCTGCGTAACCAACGATACAATGTCGAAGTTACTTAAAGCCGACTCCAGCCGGATGAGCGCCCAATCTATCGGGTTCTGACTGGAGCCACATGGCAAGGGTAGGCACTCGATAGATATCATTCGCAGACCCCTCACTAAGTATGTCTTATAGCTAGTCGACTGAAGTGGCCACTAGTGAGGATTGTATGGAAACCCCATTCCCGGGTTGCGCCCGCAGCTATAATCGGTCCGATGTGGCTGCCAAGAGTCACGAGCAAGTGAGAACACGTGATAATGTGGAGCTAGGTGACCGAGGATCCCCTGGCCACCAAGGCGGTACTATCGCCATACCCGACCTCCATAAGATTAACTAGGCAGCTGAGAAGAGGGCAAGCCCGTGGCATCTGTGCATCTCAGTCGTGCGGAATAGAGTGTCAGTTAAGGCACGGCTAGGGGCCGGCACTGAGCCGATCCGTCTTCCATATACTAGATCTGCCACAGTGATCTACCATTATATGTCTATCAGGCGATGCCACAGAATTTGTTCTTTCGATCACTATCCGCGATCAATTGACATATTCGAGCTCGCAAGGACTTCGTAGGACATCCATAACCTGTCTGTAGTTCAGCCAGACCCACTTCATTGATTAGGGGTACAGGACAAATCTTCAGACACTCTTAGAACAAATTCCTTTCGCTTCGCCCAAGAGTAAGATGTGCACAATGAAGTCCTGAAGCTGTCAAGTAATATACTTGGAGATTTCGAATATATGTAGTATTAGTGCAATTAATAATTGGAAGAAGTTAGTTGACGCGATTCTCCGTACCTTCCCACCTCCCAAACACCCGTATTTGCCACACAAGTTGTCCATCTAATTCTCTCAACTCCTTATAGAATCCAGCTTCCATCGTCAAATTTGTCCTTCTGAACCCCAAGTTGAGTCTACGTGTAAATCACAAAAACCGCCCAGATATTCCCGCTTTGGAATGAGTCGCACAACTAACGACCAATTATGATTTAAAAGTCCCCTTCCAACCGCCCAGATACAATATAAAGCAGAACCCATTACTATCATGAAGAATTAATACGACCAGCCGGCTGATCTGCTCGTTTATCTATTCCGAATGTAGACATATCAGAGTCTCGACGTTTCCTGAATAACCTTATGAGATTAACTTCGTGTATGAGTCTTGGCCAAAATGTGAGACCTCTACTCCTATGATAAGGGAGAGACTGTAATATAAACTTCTTGTGACCTAGCTTAATCTAGGATCCACCTTTAGTCAAATTCTTGATTATGTGAGTATCACGTTCTATGCTTTCCGATCTAAACGGCCAAGCATACTCCGATCAATCTCTGACTCAGGTCGACGTTCCATGATGTTACCGATACTCATGGGGTCTACACGACCTTCTATAGGACTAGCACGAGGTGGAGGAGTGCGAGATAAGAATGGGAGGCTAGATTGCTGAGGTGGTTGAAGGTTCGAATGTGAGGAGTTTGAGGAGCCAGGTGAGTAATTAGCTGTAATAGGAGCGCCAGTAGGTGTTACGGGGGGAAGACGAAGATCCTCATCCAAAGGTCCACGTCGAGGAGCAGCTGCGCTATCAGCACGTTGATATGACACCTGACCAGGAATGGGAGGGGGCAAGATGGAAGGATGCGGCTCGGGCTGAACTCGCTTTCGAGACGGGTCCGGGGGCTGAGAGTTGCGGTCGTCGCCACAGTAGGAGCTATAAGATCCCGTTGGTGAAGGGGCAGGATATTCATAAGTTGCTGTCGATTGAGTCTGCGGCGCTGGCAGTGGCTGCCCGTGAGCCCCAAAAAGAGGCGCTCCCTGCGGATACATAGGTCGGGGACGTCCATCAGGCCCAATTCCCATATTTCGCATGCCAGGATAGACGGCGTGTGCGGGAACGAACGCCTGTGCCTGAGACGAAACTGGCGTAAAAATACACTCCTGTTGAAATCGCTGACAATTGGCACAGCGACCTTCGGGATTTTGATCGAAGCCCGAACATCTGATCTGGAGAAATGTTAGTAATCGAAGATTAAGGCACATGAATTGACTGAGTCTAGATATGTGCCTGGTATAGGGCGATAAAAGAGCTATGGTGGCTTGAATTCACTAGCCCAAGAGTGAAGGCTAAAAGGATGAGGCGTAGTCTTCGAGTTCAGAGTTTTCGGCTCACCTTTCGTCTTCGGCAGTACCGGCATGCAATTGCTGTTCGCTGTCGTGGGGCGGACTGGCTGAATGCCATCTGTTGTGGAACTCCTCGGTTATAGTCTTGCGGATAGCCTGGCGTTGGAGGAGGTCGATATGATTCAGATGGATAGACTCTCTGGTCTTGGACATAACCTTGTGTCTGCGACGAAAAGCTATGTTCGTATGGTGTTATGGATGGAAGAGTGGATATACTCCCATTTGAGGCTTCACGGTTATGAAATGGTCGGCTGCGTTCGTCTTCTTCGCCTGGCGGAAGAGGATATTGAGATTCCGACTGTTCGCGCAGCGGTGGATAACCGGCGCCTTGGTCGTTGAAGGACATGTGGGGAGAGATTGAGGTGGCCAGTGTGATTACAATCAATCTTACAGGTGATAAGGTTTGAGTAAGGTGACCAAGGAGATATGAATCGTTGATAGCGGTATTGCACTTCTTGATTAAGGGAGAAATGGAGAGAAAGAAGAGAATCAGCAGAGAGTAAAATTTGAGGCAGGAGTTGATATATTTCCTGAATCGGGGAGGTTGACTTATGTTCGAGGTGGCGAACAACAGAGGTAATGATAGGTTTTTTCTAATAGTGGGGGTTTGAGCCGGCAGTTTAGGTTAGCTTTATCGGGTTTTCTAGTGTTTTTCTCTTGAAGAGCTAACTTCTGACACTGCCAGGCGTGCCGAGAGGCGAATGCTATATTGATTTCGCTAAGGAACAGAATCCCTTTTCAGTAGCGCCAGCTAGACAGCGTTACTGTGGTCCTTACTAGGGAGCGATAATAAATGCCCAATGAATAGTAGGAAGCTCTTGACTTTTACGCGCGAAGTCGTGGCGGATATAATGTCGTGCACACGTTGGTGCAATGCTGGCCCCTTGATGTGGTGATTTGCAACGGGCTGAAACCTCTAAAGCTGGCGGACGCCTCGCTCCTTCCCTTCCCGTTGCCGAGGTCCAGATCTCAGCGCAAGAGAAGTCAATTGGGACCAGAAAAAACGCACACGCCTTCAAAGATATGAGCTGTCTAGGACGAAAATTTGATGTAGACCACCCACACCCTGCACACCTGATCCGACGCAAAGAGAAGCCTATACGGTACGTAGTAGAGATCAAAAATATAATGTGGCTAGGAGGGTCAAGAGGCACAAAAATTTCGGCAGGAGTGGCTCAAGGTCTGAGCACCGCTAGGACACACTAGTTACCTGGTTGTGCTATGCGTTGCCACTGCCAATACACTTGGGTCATCCGATGGTAATCTTGCGATCCGTTGTACGTCCACCTAGGGTGTGCGCGTGCGTGATTTTGAAGATGCGATCTAGGCGTAACTATGATTTTCTTGTAACGTAGCCCAAGAAGGTATTCTCGGGCAGAAGTGGTTCGGGCACGCTGCGGATCGGCAGATGGACAGCACAATCTATAATCCCCACAGTCTTGTCTCAACGGGGCTTACGATACGAGTGGAGATCAGAGGGACAGACAATGAAATGCTTAATTGAATGTGCGGAAGCAGAAGCGTGTTGATGATAGCTAGTAAAGTCCAGCAGCTAACTTTGCAGCCCTAAAAGATGCGTATGTAGAGCGAATTCGGTGGCAGTTGGAAAAGCGCTCAACCTAACCTCTGAACACTCCGTATCAAAAGGAGTGGGGATGAGAAATCTCACAAGAGGCTAATGAGTCTAGAAGCGCACAGGGCGACGTTGCGTAGCGTGAGGCTGTTATAGGTTGTCGTTTTGGTATGATTGGAGGAAGATGGAGCGAGTGAAGCCAGACGCTGAACAGACGGTCTCCGAGGATGGCGAATATTGTGACTCAAGGTATCTTTTAAGCGATGAGGGCTCGGGGTTGGAGGTCGTAAAACGTGCATGCAGCTTTGCTGTAGCTCTGTGCCTCGCTGATGGGGACTAAGGGAGAGCTAGGCGGTTTCTTCAGGCGGCGTGGCGAAGGCGGGTTGCGGCTATGGCACGTTGCGGTACGACGCGAGAGCTTTATAGTGGTAGAGGGAGCGGTGGCGAATGAGCAGGGAGATGAGGTCTGATCACTACTGGATGAGGAGTGCTTAGACTTAGTGGAAGATGCGTAGATGGGCGGAAGCAGTATCGACGGTGCGGAAAAGATTCAAGGGGCAATGACTATGGCGTCGGGGGAGAGAAAGAGATGGTAGAAGGGGAGGGAAGGATGAAGGGATAAGAAGAAGGGCAGAGGCAAGCGAGGGTGAGCAAAGTCAGTCGGGTAGAATTACGAAGTCGAGGATTATTCTGTGAGAACGAGGGGTGACAGGGCCGTGGGCGCCGGATAGCGAGAGGGAAAGGGGTGGTTGGTTTAGATTTGGACGATGTGAATAGTGGAGAGAACAGGTGAAGGGAGAGTGCGCAAAAGACGACTGGATTTGTGTTGATAGTGGTAGTGGTGGTAGTGGTGGTAGTGGTAGTGGTTTTGGTATAGCTCGGGGTTGTTGGATTATAGGCGTTGAAGGGCTATGTGGGAGGGATGGGGGATCGTAGTATACTCAGGACTCTAGTGTGTAAAGGGCATAGGCAGCCCAGCTGGTCCTGGGATTTCCTTTCCTTGCTGCAGATGCAGGAGCTGTGCCTTGGGCCTCTCGGGATAGTGTGTTGATATCCAACGACGTGCTCTTGTTCCTACCCGCCTTTAAGGTGGTGATGCTGGAGCGGCGAGGGCCCCTCCGCTAGAGCAACTCGGCGACGCGTCTACAACTGCGACGTGGTCGCCATCGATGAGCCATGCGCGAGGAGCTCCCGATACGTCCGGGCAATGAGACCAGAGATGTCGGCCACAGGGAGACGGCGACGCGGCAGACGAGGTTGCAGCAGATGAGGTGATTCCCGTGCCAAGCGCTAGTCAGGGCGGACAGGCCGGTGCGTGAGACTATGCAGCGCTGGTGAAGGCTCTTGTTGCAATGTACCGGCGCGAAGTAGCAACGAACACAGTTGAGATCACAGAATAGCAGCCGCTGCCGCCGTTCAGACGGTCACAGTAACCATGCAACCCGTTGTCCGGGCGCCAGATGATATGCAAGACCAAAAATGCGAGGGGTGAGCTGGATGTGCCAGTGTGCTCAAACCCTGCTGGGCCTATTGACCAGGATCCCTGACGCTAGCAGAGAGGTAATACGGGCATGGTGAAGGGGGGATTACACCAGTCCACTAAAAACCAGATTCTTTCCACCTCTACGCATCTAGCCCGATCAGTGCCATCAAATAGCCTCACTGCGACATCGGAGGCCCTGATGGGATAAAAAGGAAGAATAATCAAGAGTCATATGCTACTCAAAGATAAGTCACCTGGGATCGTAGAGCAAATACGCCGAGAAAGCAAAGAAGGAACGATTGGGAGCGAGGAAGCAGGACGAAAAATAGGGATAATCAAACAAAGAGAGTGTGAAAAATATGCCGATGAAAAGAATAAAAGAGAAAACCACATCTTCGGGGACATGTTGGGGTTCGGATCGGAGAGAAACCAGCCGGAGTCTAGCCTCCGAGTTCGCGTCTCCTTCTTGGATTGGCATTCAATCGTCGGGTATTAGATGGTATACGACTCCAGGTTTCGTTTGTGCTCGCGCTTGATGCAGAGGATGAGCTCCCAGGTAAGATCCGGTCTAGTGCTGCATCTACAGCAACTAACCGCTGATGACCAGCACAGTCTAAATGGAGGCCCTCTTTCCCCGCTCGTAGTCGGCTTAACCATAGGCTACGCTGAGGACTACTTCAAGGCGCGTGCTGCCTAGTTTCTTTGGATTTTGGCTCTTCAATCTTGAGTTGACTTAACTGACCTGATTCGGAGTAGTCCGCTCGACTGGGCTTACTCAGGCCCCAGACAAGGTATTACTCGATTGCCGGCACGCGCCAGGGGCCCTATGTGAACCACAAGCCTTATTAGCGTTACAAGACCAGCCTCGGCCCGTGTCAAGCCATCCTGGATCATGGGTCTCCTGGTTGACAAGTTGCGCAGGTTCCACCTTAGATACCCGCCAGTCCCCTCCCAGGCTTACCCCCAAATACTCCCGAACCATGGATGCAATGTAGTGCGTGGGGGCAGACGAGGAAGTACACCTGGAGATATTGGAAAGGGATAGCAAGGGGAAGCTGTCGACAAGTTTCGCGTGTGGTCGATATGGAGAGCTGATTATATGTGCAAGGATAGGGGCAGAGAGAGCGAAGAGCTTGGGACCAGGCTGGAGGATGAAGGAAAAGGAGAAGTGGGTGAGCAGGCCGTCGCAGTCAAGACGGCCTGCCTGCCGGATAAAAATATCTAAACTACTCAAGGCATTGAAAAATCCAGCGTCCACGCTGCAACCACTGAGACTTGGCCGACCGCTGGTGCACATGCCTCTACTCCAGCACTCCCCCGAGAACAAAAATAAAAGAGCCGCTCGTCCAGCTGACCCAAGTCCTGGCTTGACAAGCTCAAGACCTAGATCCCGATCCATAGGTATATACCACTTTCCGGAATAACTAATCCCATGGTTCATGCATGCAACATCATGTCCGCCGCTCGATCGAGCATCCGGTATACCGTGTACAGTATCGTCCCTCAACCGCATACGCGCAACTAGCCTAAGACCTGCCAGGCAAGGCGAGCGAACGGACTCGGAAAGGTCTGCGCCCACAAGCTAGACAGGGGACCCTGCCCCTCTCAAGTTCAGTTCCCGTTGATACTGCAGCAATAGCTAGAGGAGAGTGCGTCTGTTCTCCAGACTCTCCTCACCACCTCGCCCTACGACTGCAGTGACAGCCACGGTAAGGCTAGCTCAATGGGACCCCCTGACGCCGCTGCGCTTATCGACAGAATTGTTCGTGTGGCAGCCACTGACGACAGCCCGACACCTGCCCGTGAGATTATTGACCTCGTAAAGCCATCCCACGAGAAGTAAAGGGTTTCGGCGGCCACCATTCATCTTGCACGTCCATACCATGGCGTCACCATAGACCCTAACCAGCCACGGCTCCTTGTTCATCTCTAGGCTTTCCGTGATCTCGCAACCGTCAGAATCGACGGTGACAGGCGAGTCCCGAATCAGGAAAAAGCCTGCTACCACAGCGTCATACCCCACGCTGCGGGCTAAACCTTTCAGCATGTCCGCAGGCCGGAGAAGCACTAGTGATCCACAGGCAAACTCGCCGCCTCGGGCGACTGGCCGTCCCGAGGCCCCGCCGAGGACCCAGGAAAATATGTTCTAGACGATGATGCTGTCTGTAATTATACTGACCCCATTGCATGTATGACATGTTTCGTCATCCCAATGCGGGTGCGCGTGCGGGAAGAGCTGCCTGCTCCACATCTATGTAGGTGAAGAAGTGAAGGGGTCTCATCGGTCTCGTCGCCGGTGCGCCCCTGATGCAAGGGCGCACCACATCTGCTGATGACCAACGCGATTGACCTGATCACGGGCACGCCGACCGTAAGCGACATGAGCTACACTAGCCCTCGAGAAAACCTTTCTTCGTGACTGGCCCATCCCAGATAAACCTCATTGGATTTCGACGTCCGGGCGCAGTCTATCTGGCCCCAATGCAATCCCCATCTGACGACAAGGTCGTCTCGTGTTCGCCATTGCCGAGGCGAGATTCGCATATCCAACATGCGCCACGGCCATGGGAAAACGGGGCGAGGCGATAGTACATCATGCAGCCCCATCGCCCCTTCTTTTCCATGCTGACGCCGTCGCATAAATTATTTACCCTTGCTACACCGCCCGCCCGTCCGTCCGTCCGCCCTCCCGCCCCTCGCCGGTCAGAAGGGACTCCAGGTCACGGGACAGTGATCTGATGCGGGTAGCCGTGTATCGCGCAGGAAGGGCGGCGCGGAACGAGGGAGTATGGCTTGGGTCCTCTTCTTTGTTTTGAGCCCGGACACCCCCTGCTATACCCTGCACCCTGCGACTCGGCACGGCGTGAGGAAAGGAAACCTTGACCGCCTGGCTTCCATGCATCCATGTCTACTCCGCTGCAGCTCACCAACCTAACGCTATTGGCCGTGTTTGCCGGGCCAGAGCGGCATACGCCTCTCCCCACCGCGCCGGCTTGACACGTCCGGCTTTCCAGTGTCCATCCAGCTGGACTCCTGCCAGGCCGAGGGTACCATCGACTTATCTCCACTCTATCCCTGTCTCCTCCCTGGCAAAACGCTTCGGCCCACATAGGCAGATGCGCAGCGATAAAGTGACCAAGTTGCCCCCCCGCGTCATTTTATGGCTTACAGATCGAATACGAGGGTGGAGTATGCCACAGCCCAGCGAGCTCATGGTCGTCGTCGTTGGGCTGCAATTTCACCCGATGGGGCTCTCGTCGACCCCGCCTCTAACCCATGTGTTTAGCCTAGCTGCCGTAGAGCTGGGACTGGCCTGTTACATGCAGCGGGCCGAGCAGCCCCATGGTCTGGCGTCCGGGTAAAGAGACTTCCGAAGTCCTCGTTGAGCTCGACCTTGGGTCACAAGACAGGGTCGCTGCGGATATCGGAGGGCCGGCGACGTCATCCCTCCCTACTGACGCCTGCGCTGCTGCCTCTCGTGCTGCTGTCTATCGGAGGGCGCCGGACGGTAGCGCTCCCGTCACTGTACATGAAGCCTCCTACAAGTACCATATTTATTAACAGCCAGGTGCTGTCTATCTTCCTCTGCGGCCCCTCAGAATCGTGCCCACGTCTGGCCAGCAACACCTGAGTCTATGTTCAATGTCCGCTATGTTACAATCATTGCGGAGCTAGAGGCATAATGCACCGCCCTCCTTACGGATTTAGACCGCCACCTCGCTCCGCTCATCCAGATAGTGTGATCGAGCAGGTAAACTGACTTGTCATCTCGCTTTCACCGCGCCCGTGTGTTCCAGGTGATCCTGCCGCTCACGTGATATTATCATTCCGCACGACGTCAGGGGTACGTCGTGATGAACTCGAATATTTGCCTTGAGGAGGACAAACCTGCTTTATCAGCAACATGCAGAAAATTAGGCTCGCGGCACGTGTAGACTCCGTTCAAATCTCAGAGTCGTTTATCCATAACTAACCAGTCAAATTGAAAGCTCCATTATAAGCACACGACGAAGTGAACGTCTATATGATCTAAAAAAGGCCGGATTGAAGGGGCCGGAGGCCAAAGCTTATCGGACCATTTGAGAACGGTTCAACATCGAGATCCATGAGTCGCCCCTTCTTCGGACTGAAGATCTCTCGCCATTCTTCGTCCATCATTAGGGACAACTTTAGTCGGGAAAGCTTGCGGGCTCAGAGGTGCCACAGTGCGAAGTAATTTTACCACAGGTCACAATTCAAGGCGCCCAGATATCCAGCTGGTCCCGCCTGATGCCTGGGCTCCCCCTCGAATTGGTCTTCTTCGATGGAGCTGAGCCCCGGTTTTCGCCGTGCCCAAAACAGCGCCCCATCCTAATACGGTGACATACTGAACAGATCGGCCTAGTCGGTGTATGAGATGCGACCCTCCCTTTCATCCGATCACAAAGTTTGATCTCTTCGGGATAAGGCTCAAAATTTATTCCCTGAAGTACCACTCAACCAGCTGGTCGGGACAGAGAGCTTGCCAGTTCTGTGGGGGTGATTAGGGCAGACGAGCAGAGCTGGGTTCGCGGCCTCTCGACGACTGGGGCGAATAGCGACGTTAATTCAGGTCTTGCTTTGTGCCGCAGCGGGCACGAAGGAGGGAGCGTGAAGCTGGTCAAACCAAATTTCCACCCAATTGGTTCCGTCCATGTTCATTCCAGGGGAGGGCAGCTTTTCGAGGCCCAAAGCCTGATGCTCCAAAAAATATTAACCTTTCCTGTTGTCCCAACGGATCCCCATCCTAGCAGTATCGGCCCGTCCCCGTGTGCAGGGCTAGGACAAAGATTAACCTTTGTTTTATTTTTCCCACCCACAATAGGTGCCGAGAATGATCGTGCGTGCGTCTGCAATCCGCGTGGTGTTAAACACTGCAGGATCGTGGCTTGCCCACGCGCATCCAGCTCCACCCACTCATCCCTGTAGTGGCGCAGTGGACAAGACGGGCTACGGAAATTCACGTGATCACTTGAGTTGGCCGAGGTTGCTCTGTCATTGTGTCGAGAGAGCGGACCCGCCGCGCCATTGATCGGCTACGTCATATTTCCATGATGCTATCTTGCCCTTCTAACTGGATTAGCGGGAGATATGGCATCCAAGACAATGCAGGTATTACATCAGTACTTCCGTTGCCACTCCACCTTGACCAGCGAACTACATGGACTTTTTTTGGGCACAATTATGCACAGGACGGGTGCGTGGGAGCTGCTACCCGCATCTGGGAGGCGCTTTCAGCTTTGTCGAAATTTCAGGCGTGCCTCAGAGAGACGATGAACACCAAGTTTTGCTAAGCCTCGGGCGTACCCAGCTAGGCCCGTCGTCTGCCAACTAAAGACGTGCAACTCACATGCCGAGGCACGCTCCCTTCATGCATGACTGGTCGCGCAGGAGACTCTCGGTGGAATGCGTATCCTTCCTCAACTGAATAGCATGGCTACGACCTCAGCTCCTCGCCCGAGCTTGTGGCGTCTCCAACCTTACCATCCTCTACCGCCATGTTACGTGACGCGCCACGAGCGAGTGGAATTCGTTGAATGAATAGAACGCGTCTGCCAGCGAGAGACCCATGAGTCATTGGTGTCTGAAATTGGATAGCTCATCTCTCTAGATCATAAACTGTTCAGCCGGTACGTTTTAAATGAAATGGATACCCCTTACCAAGAAAATATTCATCATGATGGGTGGCGCGGCGTTAGTTGATCCCAGGTTTGCCAGCGCCCTTGGTCTGGCTCGTAATCTGTCACCGCCTCACAAGATATTACTAGTCTTAGTAGATTCAATCGGAATGCTCCCACCGCGATATTTAACTCTCCCAAGGTCTTGCAGGGTTGGATGGTGCCATGGTACGCCGTCCAGGCTGTAGTCTCAGAATGTGCATAGAAAGTTGTTCATGTTTCACATCTAAATGGCTGAAGATGCAATGAGTAGTATAAAATCTGCCACGTCTTTGCCCCTATAATTACGTAGCTTAAGGGATGCATTAGTCATTGGGTCTAATCATTTCAGTATAGGGTGAGACGAATAGTAAATCTAGATGTTCAAATGGGGGTAGATAAACATTGGATTAGGAATAAATATTTGTTGGCAGGGTTTTCTTTTAAAATCATTCTGGCGAGGAGAAAGCCTTTGAAGCTCACAGGGGTCTTGTATATATAAACATTGATTCCTTCGCTGTCCTTGAATCAAATCCTATTGTAGCCTTTGCGCAAAGACCATTACTCCATCAGCAGTATAAAGGTTATCTAATAAACTTCAATGCCCGCGCACGGCGCCTCGGAGGAGTTTCCTGGAATTCTCTTCCCAGCCATGGCCGCCGCCGTAGGACTCCAGCACTTGTTGGAGATTTATCTCTTCAAATGGCCGCGAGCGCCGCCGACCGATGAGCGCCGTATTACGAGTACTAGGAATGCGAAGCATCTCTTTCTCCACTTGCCAGCCGCAGTCCGTGGCGATATGAGAGAGCCATGTGACCAAAGTGGAATAGGCTGATTGCGGCGCTCGAGCACTTTTCAACTGCGGCGCTCGAAAACGCGCGCCAGTAAGATTATGACTACAGCATGGGATCATCATGAAGTGACATCTGGACGCCGTCGCGAGAAGCGCAGTCCAGGGGGTAAGTTCGTCTGCGTGGTTCGATATGATAAAGGGACTGGAGGGGAATAGCCCATCATGCGTGGTAACTGGGCTTTCCATGACTGGAGCCGACGAGCCTGCATCTGGCGTCTGGAGGGAGGATGCTAAATATCCATGCGCGTCATTGTTTACCAAAGTTTCTCGGGAGTCCGGAGACGATGTGATGCAGGCGAGGGTCGTAGGGCGAAGAATTGACGGAATTAAGACCATTTCTCGTAATCTACCAGCGTTTTTCTCATCATAAGTATCCCAAGACTTACGCCTTCTCGCATCGAAGCCCCAGCCCGAGTAGCCTTCGTTGGAGAGGATATGGACCAGAAGCCCGTTACCGCAGCCAATATCGACGAACCCCGGAAATGCATCTCTCGCATAAATCTCTTTCCACAGCTCGATGAGGAAAGCGGCGATGCCGAGATCCTCAAAGACATGCTTCGCCGGATCAGTTGACTCGGCCCAATTCTGAATTAGGATCTTGGCGTATTTCGCCTTGAGGCGCGCATAGGTGTTTTGGACAATTGGCTGTGATAGGAGGACATCATGTTGAACTCGCTTTACATAGCCAGCCGCCGTGCCATGCCCGTGTTTGTGCAAGACGGCCAAGAGGTGCAGCGCGGTCCTCTCCAGCTTCTCTATGCGCGGCTGGGCATCAAAGAAGGCATACGAGATGGAGATATTTCCATGGCTACCAGCGGACCCCGAATCGTGGACAAAGGCAATTCCAAATACAGCCGGGTGGTAGAAAGGGGCTTCGGCAGCGCTCGTTATATGGGGAAGATATGTCACCACGGACCGTGTGTTTTGGGGGCCAATCTGCTCGGAAAAGAGACAAGTTTGCTCCAGAGCCTTATCTACGAGCATGTTCCGCGGTATGAGTACACGTCGTATGACGCGCGTTGTTTTGAACCCTTGGAACTCTATCAATCCCCCTACTCTTCCCGCTGATGCTGCTGCTACGCTGCTGGGGTCATACGGCTCGTCGAAACTGATATCGGCGCGGAAGAGATGGTTGGAATTGATGTTGGGATGACGAATCAGATTCAGCATGACAGCCTTGAAGATTTCGGGGGCGAAGGAGCACTCGTGACGATATAGAGGGGTCCAGTTCCATGTGCTAGGATTTTGGATGAGATCCGGCGCCTCTTCCGGCGACACCCGCAGTGGTGTGAAGCCCATGATAGTTGGAAGATCACCGGTGCCAACAGTCTCTTTCTTGCCCTGCGTCACATCCCAGAGACGCTTGTGCAAGTCACGGCTATTCCCGGACGGAAAAATCATGATCCGCCAGAATTCCAGTACAAGGTCATTGCCGCATGGGTAGCACTAGGTATCACGATATGCATAACTATTGGATAGTCTCAGTCCCGATTTTGCTCATCCCTGTCGGGGCTTATTTATATAGAATCTTAGTAAGACGAGAGCTCCTCAAGGTTGAGAAGAATTGCGCATGATCTCCCATCAATGATTCTTCGATTGGGGTCAGACACTATAAATACCTCCAAGGCCCATCCGCATCGAAACAATAATCAATGGCCACAATCGGCGATGTTGATCTAGAACACAAAGCTTGACTACATAGGTAACTCAGGATGCCTGACCGGGCTTTCACTCGGCCATACTGTAGGAATAACCCATTACTGAAATTTTGTTTTCAGGCTTCCTTTTTTCTTAGATCCAACTGAAAATCTTTATCTTTTATCCCAATATCATAGTTGTGGTAGTTTTTGGACAAGACAAGCCCTACTTTCTTTCAATATAATTATCGCCCAAACCCAGCCTACGATTACGAAGGAGGTGAAGGCCTTCTCTGCTTACGGGCCAAAAACATCTGTCTTGAGTAGCACCTCCTCGACCTAGCCTTTCTTGTAAATTTTGTGATAGCATCATTTCTGACAAGTCTTCCTTTCTAATGGAATGGTAGAACCGTCCTTTGTAGCTATTAATCGTGACATGAATTAAAATAATGATTGTGATGAAGATGTATTTCTATTTATTTTTTTGTATATGTGTTGAACGACCTAATCACTTCACGATCTTTCATGTACTATCTCAGAAACGATGACTAGTTGTGTTGATGAGTAATGAGTTACCTTTTTAGGAATGGCGTTAGGGTAGAGGGATAACTGCTGTATATGTCTTTCCACTAGTAATAACGGACTAAAAGATATACGCTCACCCACAATTACTATTATTGCTACAACAATCTTGTGATATACTTATCCACCGAGTATTCCGACAATATAATTTTCTCAGGTTCACATACCTCGAGCCAAGCAACCAGAGTGTACTCCTCCAAGTCTGGATTCATCAGAACAATTACTTACTCAGTAAACTTCTCCTAATCTCAGTTGTGTGTTAAGGATCTGGACTAAGATTTTAGTAACTATTCAATGGTATTTTTCCTATTGCTGAGAGAGTCATTGTTGATACGATAAGTACAAACGATGAATCATGTCTCCACATGACATCCTTTGATCTTGTAATCAGAATTAGCTTTTGTCCTTTATCATCTCTCTTTACCAGCCAAGTGACTATGACAATACTCGTGTAAATGATGGCTGGGAAAACATAAGAAAGTCATTCGGCTCGAGGCTCTCCCATTAAAACAAGGGCATTTAATCTGAAGACACCCGTACCTTACTGGAGCGATCGGAGAGGCCATACACTGCAGACTTGCGTGCAGTTATGGGTGTCACTCCTGCCTTTCTAGCTTTCTTCCAACTTCCTCCGTCATTTGTGCCTCCAAACAATAGGAGTAATTTTCGAATTATTAGAAAAGTATTGACTGTGAGTGTTCGCTGTAAGGTAGCCTAGGGCGGCTTTTTCGTGAGCCTAGGATAGTGGATGAAGACACAGACTAATCGATCACAGATGCCCGCATGGCTAGTTTTGGACTCGAATTCGGCTCTGTAGACTCCACGGCGAGAGCTTTATTTCGTTGAGTAACTGCCGACGGCTGTTAAATCTTCGTCTCGCGAGCCCTCTTTTAAATTTGATAAGATGTTGATTGAAGACGATGATGTGTAATGCTAGTACACGTCAAACCTACGTGTAAACATTTAGTTGAACGTCGAAACTCAACGTCAACATCAGCGTTAATCGAAATAAGAAATATCTATGCATGAAATCGGGCTGTGGGTTTCATCATGATCTACGAGGGCCTAGCCCCCAGGATCTATAGGGAAAAAAGAAATTTATCATTATCAAAAAACAACAATTAGTTTGCAACCTGTGTAATCTGCAATGCCCTTCCGCGTGTCATAGTCAGAAAGCCGCATATGCGGTTAAAATGTGATGCAAGAAATTGCTCCTTCGCAACCTAGTAAGTGTTGTTGAGTGTGTGTGAATTTATTTTGCTACTTGAGTCTGTGATCATCCAGCACATTGGGCTCCTCTCCAGCCGGGGCCACACTTTGAACAGTACCTTAATCCTATTTTGTTCAAAGATCACTGATATATTGCCCGTGATGGATAGCCATTCAGCTCAGCGTTTACCCGTGGAATTCAGCCGGCATTTCCACGGAAACTTCTCAAAAAACAAAAGTCACAGAAAACCTGCAGCCCCAGCCAGGCGAGGCCTCGACACCGGGACCACATGAAGTGCGCATATTTATCAATATCTTCCCTCTTTGTAACAGTCGAGGCCGACTTGATCCAGTCCACCATCTCCGTATCAGGTGCTGAGTACGCTCCGGAAACTCATCGGTTGGCTTTTCCTCCATGATCAAGGGTGGGTGATAAGAAGGGCTCCGACCCTACCATCTGATCTGATCGTGGTCAATTCCGTGATATTGGTGATAGGGGGATGTGTTGAGAGATGATGACGATACAGACGGCGAAAGCGATTGGGAATCCCCATCAAAGTGAGGACAAAGATGATTCTCGTCTCGGCTCTGCAGACTCTACAGTGAGAGCTGGAGGTTCGTAGGGGACAGCACTGACAGATGTTGAGATTAGTCCCCCTGGAGAGCAACCAAATTCTATCAGAACCGAAAGTCGGATCGATGGAAAATAGGTCTTCAGGAATCGCGATTTCTACTCCACCGAAACCTGACAAGGGCCCAAAGCAGCCTAGCGATGTAGATACTAAGCGAGCACATGGGGCACAATTCGTATTTATACAGAAGAAAAGTACCCGGTGTCTGCAGTTCAAGCATTCCATGTAGCTACCTATCGCAAAACCCCAAGCATATGATTATGTCCTGCCCTCGATGGTCAAATGGAAGAGAAGAGATCTGGAGACAAGCCAAAGATCGGTCCTACGAAGCAATGATGAATAATCCTGGAGATATCAAAAGGATAACACAAAGGATGCTAATTTATTGTTAGATAGAATTATTTCAAATAAAAAAAGAGGTCGAAATGCTGCAGAGGGAAAGAAACAGGTCATGCCTTTCTTGAGGTCGATATAGCTGATGTGATTGGTTTACATGGAGGTCACTGTAGTGTAATTGCGCTTCCTAAAGGATACATTAGAAAAATATATACATTAAACAGAAAGGTTTGGGGAGGGGTTTTTACCATAAGGTTTCCTCCCATGTAAATTAGAAAGTATGATAAACACCTGCATGGGCCCATAGGGTGCCAAATCAGGATAATGAATTCAAATTCCAATAGGTGGAATATGTATTAATCTTTTGTAACAGTAGTGCATCTTACGTAATATTATCTTGGCATACTTACACGACACCAAGAGAATTAGAATGGATAGAAAGGATGAATTGTATGTGAATTTTATTGTATCATTTTATTGGACAAATTTTATTGCCTTTAGTTTACGCGCCTATACCGTATTGTACCAACACATACCGAACACTCTCATGCCTCACCGATACTCGAATACATAAAGATTCCCAAGGCTTTTGCCCCAGTGGGATATTCACGGGTGGTGTGCAAGTCACCGACTATATAGGTAGCGTTATCAGCAAGTATTCATGCACCAATTAGCTCGCTACAGTTTCCGCTAATTTACTAGGGCCCACGGACAATAATAATGAGCATCTTGAATGCTAAAAAGGTTATTGTATACTACTCAGGATATTGTATAAGGAAATGGTTAAACTGTCCTTTGCAGCTATTGATGGTGACATGAATTAAGATGATGACTGTGATTGAGATCGATTTCTATATTGTTTATCATACATGATATGCTCAGGCTCATATACCTCGAGCCAAGCAACCAGATTATGTTCCTCCAGATCTAGATTCATCAGAATAATTACTTACTCAGTAAAATTCTCCTAGTCTCGGGTATGTGTTTAGGATATTGACTAGGTTTCTAGTAACTGGTCAATGATGTTTCTCCTATCACTGAGACATAGTCATGGTTGATACAACAGGTAAAAACAATGAATCGTGTCTGTACATGACGTTGTGATGTAGTCATGATCGTCTGAACAATATCAACTCGTGAATGAATCATGTCTCTACATGACATATTGACCCTGTGTCAAAGCCTGATAGCTGGATACCTAGGGGCTGTAATATACAAAGAATTCATCTCCATGAGGACTTTGGACGAAACCAGCCACGAATGCGCATAGACGCCGAGAGACTAGATTTCCATCAGTTTTATGCCAAGCGTTTTTGAGGCCCGGACTTGCTCTCGGGCCAGTAGTTCAGCATTACCAGGATATTCTTGGGGGAAATCGAACACCATAGACATGATCAAATATCTGACTCAGCTACATAGTACCGGCCTGCTCCAGGTTTATTGCGTCTAGGATCCCGTCAGGCCAGTCCCAGTTGGAGGCAGGCCCCTACAGCATATCATGGCACCATCTAGCCTCTCGTCAGCCCTGACGCTGGAGGGCAAAACCATTCCATGCAACTATCAATCTGAGACCGGGCATAGAATTCTCAGCCATGCGCGTGCCAACATCATTACTTGCTCCCTTGCCCCGAATAGTCTAACTTCCAACCCGATTCCTGGTTCCGAATCTTCACTTGTAGCATGTTTATACTTTGCTCTCTATCTCGCAAAAAATGCTTTAATCCTTTTCTCAGATAAAAGCTGATCCAAGCCCGGCAATCCCTCTCATGTTAGACGACTTTATTCGTGCCGACCGGCCAATTAAATATAAAGACTGGGATCCCTCAAAACACAGCAAGCCCAAAATAAACTTCAATCTTGTACTCTCTTTAATATTCAGCCTCCCCGATAAAGCTTTACACAG